CAAACTTGATATTTTCTATAAATTTAGTCTTGAAAAGAGTTTGGTGACGATTTTTTCCTAATCAAATATATCAGAATTCTAGCCTGTACTTTATTACTTTATTGACATTGACATTGAAAACTTTAACTTTTTATTGAGTCAATATTCAAAAAAAAAAATTTTACAAAAAAATAAAAAAAATATATGCGAAAATACTAAAGAAATTTTAAAATCAGTTTAAATAATTAAGCCTTACCACTGTAGACATACCATCAAAATTTTCTATGCGAGTTTCGTTAGACGAGTGAATAGCTAAAATAATTTAAAGATTAGATGGATTTGATAGATTAAACGGATGATGACAAAAGAATTAAAAACGAATTACCATGAGATTGAGATGTGTCAGAAAAAAGATGGGACGGACTAGGGTTATTTGAAAGTTGCGTGCGAGAATGAGTTTCGAATGATTTTTGAGTCGAACTGCATGGAGACAACTCTATTTTCTTAGGCGACCACGCTACTCCAACAGAGAGAGGGTGCCATTTCTGAACTAAATGCGAATTAGACGAGTTTACTTCACCACGTCCAAAATCATCTCTAAGTGTCCTAAAACAAGATTTTTTAAAAAATGCGAAAAAAACAAAAACAACGATGCCATTTTTAATTGAATAAAACAGAAATTGAATAAAACACAAAACAAAACAGAATAAAAGCTGACCAGCTTCTATTTTGAGAAAAATTATCAGCATAACTTTCTTTCGCAATATTTCGCCGTTGAAAATGCGGTCTCACAGGATTTGCATGCACATTTCTTGATTCAGAGCTTGAAAATTTATAAAATTACAAGAAAAAGTGAAAAAAACATATTAATTTTTTTTATACAATTAAGAATGGAATACTGCATTCAAAAAAAGTTAATATAATTATTTTAAAAAAATTATACAGTTTGGCTAACTGGGGTCGAACTAAAGGCGATTTATATTCCAGTTCAGGGAAGCTCATTTTCCGAGTCGTATGAGCCCGATTGTCGCGCAATAAACGAGATGATTTATCAATATGTTGAACTAAATAAAATTAAAAGATAAATCCAACAACTAAATTAATAAAGAAATTAATGAGCCCAATAATTAAATAATTAATTAATTAATAAAGATTTAATGGACTTCTGAACCCATAAATGTCCAAAAGCCAAATATATTGCCAAAAATAAGTGTTGACTTAAGTTGCACTTTCTTTCTATATTTTAATTTTTATTCTATATTCCATTGAAACATTCATTATTTATAATTGATACCATGCGAAACTGCACTTGTAGAAGGCTCGTTTAGTTCTCTATCCGAGGGGGCAGACAAGCGAATGGCAGCTATTTCAGCATCTTGCTGCATTTCTAGTGACATTGAATTTTTGTCTGATAAATGCATTTCGGAATAGGGTTTTAAATCACCCAAATTTTGTTTCTGATGTGCTTGAAGACGATATTTCTTTGGAGGAGGCACTACAGCCATCTGTTATTGAAGATGAGTTTTAAAAAATAAAGAAAATTTAAATTTAAAATGACAGTTTTTAAAAGCCTTGAAACATTAACAAGGTATTGTATTAAAATACAGAAAAAATTGAAGTGGAACGAAGTGAAATATTTGATTCTTTTTCTCCTCTGTTTACCACCGTCAATATTTCTGCTACCATTAATCATTATTAAAATAAAAGTTCAACTAACATTTGGAGTTCTACGGTAGGCGGATGGTAGCTGTTTGTGACCTAGAGGTGTTACAGATTCCAGTGGATCATAACCATATGGATTGGGTGCTTGTGGAGCATCGGCAGGCATTATAGGTGGTGGAAGACCACCAACAATTAATGGCGCATCATAATGATGTGTGAAATTATCAGATTTTCGAGTTTTAGAAAACGGTTGATTAGATTTTTCGACCTTTTTACTTTTCGATTTTGCGACTTTCGATTCTGCAATTATCATCCATTTTCAATTTGTTTTAAAATAATCAATTTTATAGCAAAATTGATGCATAAGATAAATTACGATGTGTAAAATTCTATAAGAATTTTAAGAATAGTTTCTGAAAATTACTGGTCTCCTTCTGAACAAATGGCGTAGATTTTTTCCTTTTACTACTTGGCTGTGAGGCTGCGACGGTGTCTTTGTCCTGTATTATCTAAAAATGAATTTCTCAGATAAAACCCTCTAAAAAAATTTGACTCAAATAACAAAACCTACGAAACAAAACTATAGCCCATATATATTTCATAAAATTTTGTATACTACCTTTAACTTTTAAATTCAATTAAATTTTCTTATAAGTTCTCCTTTTAATAGCATTTAATGAATTTTTTTTTTAAAGAGTCCTCATCATTACTGGTTAAACTCGCTCCACTAGCTTATCACATTGAGCAATATGCCATGGAGTCCCTTGGAGACAGAAATAGAGGTGAGTCGCCAGGATTTTTATAAAGGTTAAAGGTTAACTCCTGCAGAGGAATGAACCTCAGCGCTCCCAATCGAGCAATAACCCACTGAGCCATTCAATACCATTTGGTGAATATAGGTTCATATTATTATATTATTATTGATTATTATTCAAATTATTACCTATTTGTAAACAATAAGATGAAAAACTTTCTCTTAAAACCGAAATAAAATTGAAAAAATACATGTTTGTTTTTCATTTTCTAATATTTTTCGTACTTTTTGCACTTTTATATATTTTTTCCAACTCTAACGCTAAATCTAAATTTATTAACTGATAAATGGTTTTTCAGATGACTTGCCTCCTTATCTTTATCTTCTTTCAGTTTGTATTTGGTGATGTGATATTTGAGGATTTCCTGTAATAAAATTCATTTACATAGAATGACGAGATATTATTGGATCTAACGAGAAATATAATGATTTAAATATATTCAGATATATTCAGAAAAATAAGTTTTTCAATGAACTAAGCACATAATTCTAACTAAAAACATGAAACACAAGCAAAAAAAATCTTTCTTAAGCGGAATTCACCAAAGAATTTTTTTCTAAATCAGAAGAACAATGTGCTTATCATTAAACTATGGAATTTTCAAATCTTACATAGATTTCATAAAAAAACAGAATAAAACCTCAAAATCATCAAGCAATTCCTCTGGATTTATCAAACCTTCAAGTGGTTCTAACTTCGATCGAACTCTCAAAAATTTCCGCATGTACGCTAACAATTTTAAATAGCCATTTCGCTCAATTTCAGAAATACTTTCTATATATTCTGCAAATTTATTAGTCCTTACGAAGAAAATTAATATAAACTACTGATTCTACGAAAAATTGGCCTGGTCGGTGATTTCATATCATATTTCATATATCATATTTGACCAAAAATTTTCAATCAAATTTTTTTTCATGGAGAAGTTAAATTTTAAATTTTAACTTGCTAAGGGATTTTTTGATCATATTAAATTCGTTCAAATCTCTAAAGAGGAAAAATAAAAAATATTGGGAAAAATATAAATATTTTCGATGAAATAATATAAATATTGGCTAATATTTTTTATTCATTTTTATCTATTAAATTTTAATGCAAATCTGAAAGAAAATTTTAAAAGCTACCAAATGAAAACATAAAAATTTTGAAAATTAAAAACCTTAATAATATAATTGTATCCAGAAAAATATGATATGATTTATATTAAAATGATAACAATGAAACAAATTACTAAAATTTTCAAAATCTAACTCACCTTTATTGAATTTTGTCGGTGTTTTTGCGAGAGGTCCGGAGTCCTATAATTTAAAATTAAATGAGCACATTATTTTTAAATATAAAATGGAAGTTGATAATATCAAAAAGACCAATTAGAAACTATTCGAAGAAAATAGCATTTACGCATTTATAGCTTTAAGAAGATTATAGCTTACTTTGCAATCAGCTTTTCGTAAATTCGAAGCCTCTTCAAACGAAATATCAGTAGACAATTCTGTCAACTGTGATCGATCGCCAAGTAAACTTGTGCCTGAAAAATTTCGATTAAAATAAATTGATTTTTTAGTCTCATAAATGAAAAAAATACAACTAATAAATAAAATTCTTAAAAATTTTAACAAATAATCTTAAAAAAATAATAGTTATTAAATCATATTCAATGCAAAGAAGCAAATAAAAATTTAAATTTTTTAATTAGTTCGATGGAAAAGTGAAAATGACGATTATTATATTATTGAACTTCAAAAGCAAAAATCTGAAAAATTCAAACTCATCCTAAAATATTAACTCAGTTAATCAAAATCCCTTGCTACTATCGATTAATATTCAGCCGATATATGATTTAAAAATGATGAAAACAATATTTTTAGCGCCACCTGAGGGATATTCCAAGATTAAATTATTTTTTTCATAATAAAACTAAAACAAAAGAAGCACCATTATTTTTTCTAAAGACACATTAGACTTTTTTTCATATAGTGGAATCACATATAAGGATGTATATAAACAAATAATAAAGGAAAATAAATGAGAAAATAAAAAATGCATAATTTTCCTTATCTTTCAATATAACCTTTTCTTTTATGGCATTAAGCCACATCTTAAAGACTTGCAAAAAATATCAAAATAAACTTTTTTCTTTAAAAAAAAGTTATATAATTAAATCGCTAAAATCCTAACATATTATTCAGATTAAATATTCTCCCACTCCCACTTTAATTGATAATTTTAAATAATTCGATAAAAAATTTGAAAATTTTAATGAATTTTAATGAATTCTTAAATTTATTTATTTATAACTTAGCAAATATCAATAGAAACCACAAAAACTCTTTGACGATTCTCACTAATCTTTAAGAGTGTAAAGAGCAAAGAAGAACAAAAAGTTTAGAAATCATTATTTACGCTTTTACGTGAATAAAAAATGTATTTCTTATTGTTTTAAACACTTCAGATTAATTAATAAGTAATATGACTTACAAGTATTAGGTGATTTTTCTCTAGATGTGAAATTGCTTGCAGACTCCTGATAGCATGGAACATTTTTCATATATTTGGAGTTAATATTAAGGTAGCCCTTTTCGAATTCCATGTTCTCCGTTTTGATCTTTCCAATTTGTACATCATAATTCTGCATATTACATAAAGAATAAAGATAGAATAAAGATATATATATACAGATGTATATATATATAAAGATATATATATATACAGAAATGAAAACGAATTTACCGAACTGAGTTGTGAAGTAACAATGGCTGATCTATTTTTGAGATGACAACGACCAGTTGTTTTTTCAACCACACCAACAATAACAAACCAAAGCATTTCATTATAAAAAGGATAGCGATATTTCTTTGCAACCTTAATTTTCAATTTTATGTTCAAAAAAATTCAATGTGAAATTGAAGGAAGATATTTTAATTAAACTTCTTTCTCTTAATATTTATATAAATTCGTTAAATTCATATTAATTAAAATAAATTTAAATTTATATAAATTTCATATAAATTTAAATTTATTAAACCTTGATTTTATCTTCGGAACGTAAAACTCGTAACTGCATAGGAATTGAAAAACTATGAAGGAAATTACCACCAAATACAAGACTATCTTCTGGAGTGTATACACTGTGTATCCAGCCTTAAATATATATATATATATTTGAATATATATATATTTCAACATATATTTATAAATAATTCAATATTCGAACTATTTTATTAAGAAAGAAACAAAGAATAGGATGCTACATTCGTGAAATAAGAGCTATTTGTATATAAAGAAAAATGAGAATTTTAAGCAGATTTCAGAAGAATTGGACAATCAACACAAACAAAAAAAATAAGCAAACTTGAACCAGATGGTATAATGAATGTCTGCCCTTCATTTAATTCAATCCTGCAACATTTTTCAACAATGTCTCCAAAAAATGTTTCATTTTGATCACCTTTGAGAATCCATTCCTCATACATAATTAGATTCTGTTCCGTCGGTTCAATCATCCAAAATATCTGCAAAATTTCAGCGAATAAATTTTCAATAACAATAATTAAAACAAATTAAACGAACCTTGCGTCCTTTCAATACATGATACCAAACAGATGTACCACCGAAATCAATATGGAAATCCGTAAAGCAACCTTTGACACTCATCAAGCAATAACTAAAATATAATTTTTTTCTTGATTGATTATAATACTGATTATCGAAAATGGTAAAAAATAGAAATATTACTGTTGAACTTTGGGATACATCAAAGGATTGGATGCTTGACGTAATTCTTTAGGCCAATATAATTCAATCCAGTCTAATTTTTTTGCTATTTCTGGCGATTTTACTACATCTTGCAGTGGTGTAAGAGAAAATTCCAACGATAATACATTCAGCAATTCTTCACGCTCCTCCTCTTTACTTCTAAAAGAGTATAAAAAATATATTTCAATGAATTACATTATGCAACATTATAAAAAATTTAAAAATTACGTATAGTAATCAATAAAGTCGCTTAAAGCCATTTGTCGACTTCCTTGAGTTTTTACTTCAACAACTTCAATCCAACGATCGCCACCTACTAAATCTTTCACGTTCAATACAGAAAAATTTGAAGCATTTGGCATCCTGAAATCTTCCAATTTGTATGACTTTTAAGACTTTAAAAAAAAGTTTCGAATTGAAAAACCAGCCTAAGTAAAAAATAACGATAAGATTTTACTGCTCACGTCATTCCAAGTTGAACTGGAGGATCATTGAAACATAGAGGTATTTCTAAACCATTTTTTTTCACATAGTCCATCGTAAAGTCTGCAAAAAAGAAAAAAAAGTGATTTTTCAGAAAAAATTGAAGAGAAAATCATTAAATGAAAAAATTTATAATTAACAAACCACTTGCAGACAAATGCTGATACATTTCAGATCTAATAAATTGTGGTTTAGTACACATATCTTCGATATCATAAGCCCAGTATTTTGATGATTCTTCCGGTTCATCATATTCACTTTCATAAGCAATATCGACATCAACAAAATCATCCACATCATCCATTAATGAAATTTCCGATGAACCAGCTGATGAACTTGAATAATGTCTCTAAAAAACTTTAGAAATTTTTTGGCAATGAGTGAAAAAAATATATTTCATTTTAAATTTACAAATTTTAATAAAATAAGTTTAATTATAAAGGACAGATGATAATTTATAAGTGGAAAAAAATGTAAAATTACATTAATAATCTAATTCGCATTACAAATTATTCGCATTACAAAAATAAATTTTTTGAATTGAATTTTTTAAAAATAATTTCAAAAATTAAAACCAACTTTACGTTTATTCCCCATATCTCGCTTCATTTTCCCTTGTTTTATACGCATTTTGCTAGTAAACACTGTTTATATAAAAAATTAATATCTAAAATATATTATTATAATAGAATTTCAACGATTTTTTTAATCTAATGGTCGATTTTCAAAAAAGTAAAATAAATTTCTAAGATATGTATCTTTTATATATAAAAGATATATCTTATATATTTTTAATATATTCTTTTTATAATATATGTATATATATATATATCTTTTATATATATATATCTTTTTATACCTTTTCTTTTATCTTATATCTTTTAAATCTATCTTTTTTCTAAAATTAAGAGGCATAGTAAATCAATTTTTAACTAAAAAATTATTTCCAACTAATTATGTTGTGATAAAAAAATTAACACTATTTAACAGTGATTTTTAAACTGAGACAACACTCTTGAACCGGAGTACCGCGATGTGATTATTGATCACTGATAAACTATCGTGATCGGAAATATGAACATTCAAAAATTATGTCTTATTTTTCCATGTCCTGAATATTCATTTAGATTATTGGCATATTAAATGCGGCCAATATTTATCAATTCCAATAATGCTACAACCATTCTTGGCAGCACGGGACACTTTTACCGAAAAGTCACCGGGTAATGCAGAAATATACCACCAGGTGGATTTTTTAATCGTTTTACCTGTTGGAAGGTTTTGGAAGCTTCATATTCGCGAAATACGAATTTTTATATATATAGCTACAGTTAACTTATATTAATGGTTACTAGGTTACCAATGCTTAGTCTGCTCTACCGATATTTTCTATCGGTTGATGTTTGATTCACCGACATTTTTCTGTGGAATACGAATTAAAGTTTTGAAACTAAGAAAAATGGAAATCATACTTTAATGCTAGCGACTCACCTATATTTTTCTGGCCAAAGGATTTCCTGGCATATTTATCTAATGCGACAAGCCAGCAAAACGAGGCCAACCAGTAATGATGAGGATTTCTAAAGAAAAAAAAAGTTTAGGAACGCTCAGGGCACGAAATAAACCTATTTTTTTCGAAAGCCTACCGTGATGGTTTGCGATTCATCTAAACTTTTATCATCGAGTGACTCCATTGCAAAATCTCTAATAATAAGTGAGTAGTGGAGTTAGAATGGCTCAATCTTATTACATCTTTATGGCGATAGAATGGCTCAGTGGGTCGTTTCTCAATCGGGAGCGCCGATGCTGAGGCTCGATTCCCGCAGCAAACCTGTCCAAAAACCCGGATGATGCTGGCGACCCTATATCTCTATCAATAAGAGACTCCCTGGCATATTGTCCAACGCGAAAAGCCAATGAAGCGAGTTTAATCAGTAATGGTGAAAATTCTTTAAAAAAGAAATCAGTAATGCGCATTTTAACCAAAAAAATAAGGAATAAAGAAAAAAATTCTCTTATTTAAAAAATTTAGAAACTTTAATTAAATCGATTATTTGTAAATAATTTATTTTTAAATTTTTATTATTATAATTTTTAAAATTATTTTTATTTTTATTAAATATAATTTTAAATTCAAAAAAAAAAATTTTTCAAAAGAAGTTTGAAAAACAAATAAATTTGCGAAGAAAATATTTAATAAACAAATTAATAAATAATATTAATAATATTAATAATAATAATATTTTAAAATAAATAAAACAATAATTTTTTCTTTCAACCAACAAATATTAATTCCCAAGAAAACTAAAAAAAAATTTCGAATAAATTTATTTTTTTATTCTAAGAAAAATCAAAAATAAGCCCGATTATTATCGGTAAAACATTGTCGGCTGCGTACGACCAAATTCGTACTCTGGATAAAATTCGCCCCTTCGTACTACGTCCATTTGTTGTTTTTTTTTTTTTTTCATGTTCAAAGATAAAAGAACATATTGAAATAAGTTATTTTCAATAGAAAAAAAAGCCAAAATCTATTTTTTAGAATATTTACAAGTTTTTCAAGTAAATTCTCTTAGAAATGTAATTTTAATCGATGTATTTTTGTTTTTTTTTTCCGAATTTTCTGCATAAAAATTACCGAGGAATACGGTAATTCAAAATAATCGGATGCCTAATTTTTTTAGAAACAAACAAATAAATGTGCAATTTCTAGAATGCAAATGAATATTCAACTTTGACCTTTTAACCTTTCAAGTATCAGCAATTAAGAAATACAATAATTCTCCAAGAATTTTAATAGAAGAATTGTTGGTAGATATTAAAAGAAATTAGAAGGATATTCGCTTCAACTAGTTAGTTAATAATCGACATAATTTTATGAAATGTGATAAAATAGTACAGCGAGATTTGATGAAGCATAAGAGCTTAGCCTGGAAATGCAGCGAAATTTGATGGGATACAAGAATTTAGTCTGGAAATGAAGAAATGCAGCGAAATTTGATAGAGTATTTGATAGAACTTAGTATGGTTATGAGGCAAGTCGGCTGGTAGTAGATAATAGAAAATATTAAGGAGACTGACATGTGCTTTGAAGGATTTTAATAGGAAAATTGCTAATGGATTAGACGCTTAAACTGGCGCTTTAGGAATGCAAGGAAAAGTTCTAGAAATTAATAATGGGATTTTGAAAGTAAAACTATGCAATGCTACTAAACGAGTTTAGGAAGGATTTTGATAAAGATTGATCCAATTGGAGGAAATGGAGGATGACTTTGTCTCGAATGCAATACGCACTAACATAACATAAGTTATTACTTCTACTCATTTATTTATCCGTTCACTCGTTATTTGCTTTGTTAATATTTTATTGATTCATTTATCCTTCTTCGGTATCCGCAAATTTCCATTATATTTCTTCGATGTCACCAATCACCATAATTCCTTCTTCCGCGGTTAAAACATCGAAATATCGAAATATCAAAACTACGGATGTAGCAAAAGTTACCGACATAGTCTCTGATGTTTAAGTTAGTTAGCAGGATTTTAAGTGGTATCAATAGTATATAATAGGCTCGCGCAAAGGTATAATGGAGATAAGGCTATTGGAAGATTTGAACAGTTATGTAGAATCGAAAACGATATTAACGAGTTGGAGCAAAATTGAATTTCTAGCGCACGGGATTCAAAAGCGGATTTAGAGGATAGAGAATCTCATCTTAGAGGAATTAGAAAGTTCTTCTTTGATAAAAACCGGACTATTTTGGAGGAAATATAAGTGTCTTTTTCCGGGTTAACACAATCATTCACTTCCTTTCCTATATATTTCTCTTATATCCTCACATATCCACTCTCACAAGCACTCTAATACACCAACACTCTTAAACACCTTTACACACCCACAAGCATCATCAGCACCAACATCCTTGAAACACACACTCTTAAGCATTCCACCCTCATACACCAAAACCCTTAAACATCTCCACATACCCACTCTCACGAGCACCTATAAGTACCCTCAGGCGCCCATAATTATTGCAAATATCCACATTAATTAAAGCTATATTTGAAATTATTCTTAAAATATGTAACAAAGCTATTATTTAAAAAAATTACTGAAAAATAGTATTTCAAACAACTTCTTTTATGCAAATAAAAACATAGAAAATAAAAACTTTTTGACAATATATAAATATATGTATACGGAAGAAAAATTAAAAATTATATTCGCCTTTTTTAATTCGGAAACTTTTTTTTTCATCTAATCGGCGAAATCTACCCGTTAATATTTTTTATAATTTTCTTAAATCGACTAAACAATGTAAACGTAATAAATCATTAAAAAAAAAAATTTTCGGTGAAAAAAATTTTGAGAATTAGAAATTTAAACTCTAAAACCCTAATGGAACTGTCTTTTAAAGTCACCGCATATAAGTATAAATTAAATAGTTTAATCGGAAAAAATTGCAATATGGGTTCGATTTACGCTCTTTCATATTAGTTGTAATATGCTTATTATAAACGGAATTCGGTTTTAGTCGAAGGCCAACATATACATTGGCTTCTGGCAACGAAATGGAAGAGATAAGAGGGAAATAATAAGGACCAAAGGACCAAATGCCAGAAAAATGTATATTTTACAGATAAATATAAATGTCATAAACTTAGTTTTTCTTTTTTCAGTTTTTCAAGAGAAATTCGACATTCTTTAGAAGAAATTTTTTGATATTCCTGAAGTGTACGTTTATTATTAATACTTCAGTGTTGGAGATCATTGGACAATTCAGAAAATGTTCACATTCGAATGTCGCAATATTTAACTGGTACTGGTGGACGAATTGATTCATTTTCAAGAACATTCAGAGTCCTTGTTTCAACGTTCATTGTCATAGAGAATCCATTTTTCGTTTCCGGTGCTGATCTTTCGTTTCGCTGATTATCGAAATCACTGCATTTCGGTGGCTAAAATAATTTATTTTATCGAATATTATTGATTATTAATATTATTGAATAACCTGAAAATAGTACCAATGGGCAAAATAAGATTGCATTGCCTAAGATTGCTTCAGGGGAAACAAAGAATACGGATCCGTTCCTTGAAGAATATCGCTTTCCTACCTATTAATGAAGGCCGCATCATCAACTACCACCTATAACTCAAGTAAATTTCCAATGAAAAGGTGTTTCGGTGAAGTTAAAAGCCAAAAGCAAAAATGGTGCATAAGGAGGAAGAAAAAAAATTTGAGTACTGAAATATATTTGAGGTAAAATTCTTACAATTTTTGATATGCAAGAAGCACCACTTTCCATATCACATAGAGATATTTGACATTGGAAGACGACATTATTATCGCTGGGAAACTTGAAGACGCTCATTTCTTTATAAACATATGCATCACCTTTTCGGGGTTTTTTTAAAAATTTTGAATAATCTGGTGTTTCTAAAAATTGTGGATCGATTTCACATCCATTCGAGTCAAGAATTTTGAAATTTTTTGTTTCTGATTTCACATAACAATCGTGTACCAAATATTGATAATTTGGTGCTAAAATATGAAATATTTTAGTTTTTTTTTTCTTTTCTATTTATGAATTATCTAAATTTGCAAAAAAAAAAATTTAGAATAAATTCCATAAATTTATTAGAATATAGATAGAGTCCAAAAAAAATGATACTTACGGCTATCACATTCCCATTTATGGTAAAGCGTTTCCCCAACTTTAGCATCAAGAGCAACGCATTGTTCGGGAGAGAAACGATGAAGTCTATACGAACATTCCGTATCGGTTAATTTTTTTAATGTTGATCGTCCGATTTCTTGTTCCGATAATGATTGCTCATAAAAGCACGAAACGCTTAATCCCTTAAATAAATTTTGGTTCATATAAATAAATTAAATAGTTAAAAAAAATTGAAATCAATGAATCACTCTAAAAAAAATAATTTTAATCGCTTTTCAAATATTGCCTCATATCACTTATTTTTATCAACTAATTGATAATTTTATATTTTTGAGATATTTATTTGATAATGATTATTTAATAACAATAATAATAATCAATAAACAATATTAATCAATAAACAATAATAATAACCTGATCAGCACGAGTAATTATAATTGGATGGAATTGTAAAATAACGGTTATATTGTAAAAAAATCCATCCAAATGCTAAAAATATAATGATAATTAAATGATATGAATAGTTCACAAATTGTAAATTAAAAAGGAATGGTGTATTGTTATGATTGGAAGTATGTTTTGGTCCGATTCTTGCCCCTGGCAAAATTCAACTGAGTTGTGTAAATACTAATTTAAAGGAGTTAAAAAATTCCTAGAAACTAGAATCTTTATAGAAACCAACAATGGATGGCGTTTTTGATAATCCACATGTACCTTCAAGGAAGGTTATTGATATTTCACGAGATCTGCCATCTGCTACCTAAAAATTATCATAAAATTTTGTTGCTCTTCCATTTCATTTCCATTTAAGTAATATTATTTCATAATGAAATTTCAAGATATCAGTTTTTTTTTATTTATCATTTATCAAAGGCTTAAAATGCTACCATTCTTTTTCAAAAAAGGCACGTGATATTTTATAAATTGAAAAGATCGTAAGAGATCACCTGAACACATTTTGAATCATCATGATATAACTGAGCGTACATCAAACCGACCATAGGTTTTTGTGTACGAACTGTAAATGAGACATAGTTTGGCCCACAGGATACATCAGTTGCACCTCTGATACGAGGTGTTGGGTGTTCACCGAGATCAATACCAGGGCAGCCAAAACCGATATATTTCATAAATTCAGCCTCGAAATTCTAAACATTTATATCGTTATGTCGATTCATAATCCAAGTTTTCTACTTTTAAAAGCCAGCAGGTTGGGTTATGTTTCTCTCCGATAAAAGAAATAATACTATTGTTGAAAATGGAACCAGAGTGGCCGAGAAGCCCAAAAACTTGCCTGAATATTTCCAGGCATAAATATTTTCGATGGATCTTGAGTAATAGTCAACAATTCGCCCTCATCAACATATGGCTCAGGTGTCATCGAGATAGCAATAATATCAACGCCTTCGGCTCTTAAACGTTTCGCAAGATTTCTCGGTGATCGTTGCGAATGGCCATCGGTCAAAACGATGGCTAATTTCTTTACTCCTTCTCTAGCGCCTTAAACCATTAAAAAAATTTATGTGTAAAATAGGCAGATTAGTCACATGGACATCTATACTCGGTTTTAGTATCAAATATCATATATCAACAGAAAGAGCTATCATAGATAAGGTAAACTCTTGGTCTATTAATTGAGATATGCCTCGTTATGTGAGGACTTACAGTAGACTAAACAAAGAGACCCAAACAAAACAAGTGCTAATTATAAGTGAGATTCGTATAAGCAGTCCAGCGATATGCATAAGGTGGTTAAAAATGAAATGGATTCTTAGGTATGGCTTTGGTCCCTAAGGTCCAAAGCTAACTCTAACTGAGTACCATAGCACCACGAAAAGCCGAAATGGTGCGGCCAAAAGAAAAAGAAAAATGCCCAATTAATGAAAATTATTCAAAAAATTCTAACCGCTATTTCCCTCCCGATTAATGAATAATTCATATGCTTCATGTAGGGCCAAATGTGTTGATGTTGTCCCTTTTATCGAATTCAACTTCTTTAAATAATCCGCAACAACCGTATTATTCGAGAATCTTTGATCATTGAAAGTAAAGTGAACATAAGCTTGTCCCGAATACGTTATTAAAGCAAGTCTATAATTTTGATTAAATGATAAAAGGTATTAAAATGATAAACTAATAAAAAAGATAAAGGAAAAAATCTCTTAAATGTCTTATCTCTTAAATTTATTTTTTAAAAATAATTTATTAAATTTCCAATATTTCATCTTTATTTTAATATATATTTGATGCATCGATAGAAAATACGGTATAAATTCTAAAATGTTTATTGTAAATATAATACAAAACAATTATAAAACGAAAATTAAATCATATGGGGCATTGGCTGCTGAATTCCATGTTACTACAACTAAGCAATATAAATTGACTTGTCAGAGGTGTCATTGACAGTGAAATCTAAGTTTCTGGTAAAGACCAACCCTAAGTTCTGTTCTGCTTCTAACTCTCTGACTAAAGAATCACATTCTGGTGGTTAGTTAAGTCGGTCAAACCACAAATACTATTGCAGTGCCTACTGCTGCTGGGAAATAAAAAAAGATATAATTGTTCAATTTAGAATTTATTCATTAGCAAAGAAATTATAAATGATAAGAATCAAAATTGATATAGTTTTGAGAGAAAAACAACTGATAAAATGAAATAAAATGAATACCTTACGGCATCCGGATGGATATTGATATTTTGAACAATTCTATCAACAGCGAAATGAATTTGATCGTCGAATAAGCGTGCAACAGATTCCGACGAATCGATTAATAAAGCAAGATCAAGTGGTTTATCCGATCCTTTCACGCATACTAAATAGATTAATTTTAATTTATTAAATTTCTGATAATAACAAAAAATCAAATTTATCATTAAAAGTGGAATCTGGACAAGTGATAAGAACCCACTTATACTTTCAAATTCTAATAGTCAATGAAGACATGCAAACCATAAATAATGTAGAATTATAAGTGCTAATATATATATATATATATAAAAGAACGGTCCAAACAAATATTCATTATTATCAGTCAGCTATATCAGTTAATAAATTAACTTCATTATTAATCAGTTATATCATTCATTATTATTAATCATTTATATTAGTCAACAAATTATCAAGAATTTTTAGAGTTTTTCAAAATTGATAATATGCTTATTGAAATTTTTTGTATTGCACGGATATTTGTTGAATTTTTGATGTGTGATATTTATAAAAAAAAGATAAGATAAATTGCCCTAAACAATTTAACAAATATCGTTTACAATAAAAAATATCTCACATATCTCATCATAGCATTTGTCACGCAATATGAAGGCCATCAAAAGAATAAATAAATCATGAAACTTGTTTTAAACTGGAAAATAAATTTCAACCGATAAAGATGATTATGGCAGCAAAAAAAGGAGCAATCTTAGTTTTCTGAACGTTTTAAAAGATATAATTAGAAAATAAATATGTACACAAATTATTTCATCAAAGCGACAGTTATAGTCGTTTGGACGAAATTCTTTAGAAAATTTTCTGGTAAGACTAATTATTGACTAATTTCGTGGCAGATATGACGTCTCGGACAAATTATTGCCAAAAAAAAATACTAGGATCTCGGATGCACTAACCATTAATGAAATATTAATGTATAATCTATAAACCTATAAAGAAAACCAACCAAACATTCATTAATCAACCAGTTATTAATCTCGTAATCAGTCAATCAGTCAATATGTTATCAGTTTATTAACAGTACGCTTATCAAAATTTTTTCTAATGCCAAAATTTAATTATGATTCCTTAATAAATAAGATAAATTTATCGGATAAATTTCTGATAGATGTGGAATCTTGGAAGAGAGCCTTATAATTTAATTACCTGGTTGCTTTTCGCAAACTTCTGTTCCTTTCCAAGCATCGAACATTGGTTCAAGATTTTGTAAATTTTCATTTGTTACGATTTTATGAATATCCTATAAAATAGATTAGTAAATATTTAAAAAATATAATTTAACAAATATTTATTTAAAAAATATTTTATCGAAATAGGAAATTGTTGTTTTTGTTGAATTCACGATTTATAAATATATGTTGAATAAATAAATATTTGTATAAATTTTTTTCTAATAAAATTTATAAATTATTAAAGTATAAAAATATAAAACAAAAGTATATTGTGAAATTTAAAATTTTTATTTTATGAATTCATCAATTAATTATTTATTAATTAAGATTTTATTAATTCATTATTAATGAAATTTATTTTCTTATCAACTCATCAAATTTATTTGGAATTTATTTTCACCTTATTCGCATTATCAATATCAGTAATCAATTATCAGTGGAAAAAAAGAAAGTGGAAACAATTTGTCAAAGGGAAACTTGATAAATGCCTGGTTTTTTTTTATTGAACTAGCTTGCTTTATAATAATAGAAACAGTTTTTTTTTCAAAAATTCTTAACGAAAAGATAAATTACTCGAAATTAAAGGCGAAAAAATTTCCAACATAACTTTATTTCCTGATTGTCAAAACGATAATGATTGATTTCACATTTCACATTTATAAAAGAAATTTTAAAAAATCAGAAAATGAAAAAATTCGCTTCATCTTTCCAAAATTCACTTTGTTTATCTAATAATTCTTAGTAAAAATTATTTTATTAAATTTGGTAAATGAAACGATTTAACAATTTTATAATAATATAAATATGTTGTTTAAAAAAATAGGTTAACATTTGTTAGAAATTAAATCAAAATTATCAAAAAGATATGTGATAAGTTAAAACAAGAATCATTGTTTTATTCACATTTATCTGATAAGAGAGCAAAAAAAAACAAATTACAATTATCAGGAAAATTCAGAATTTTAGTTCTATGAAAAAAAAAGAAACGATTACTTTAGTGATGGCGAGAAGCTCGCTTATGGCAACATATTCACCTGTACCATATGCATATATATCAACATTACGAATACGTTGTCGAATTAAATCAGCAATCTCAACATGTTTGGGATAATCATGAGTTCGACCATCTGATAATAGATAAATTATCTTTGGAACATTCGAAGGCCGCATTCCCTATAACAAAAAACTAAAATCGCTCGCGGAAGAGTTTTTTTGGTTTCAAAATTTTTTGATTTTGAAATTGTAAAAAAAAAAAATAATTTCGATAGATTCGAAAATTTTTTAGCAAATTTAGAATTATTTAATAGTTGTTTAATAAATTATTTTTAAAAATGTCAATAATCAACTATTTTTCTTTCTCCTTTTTTAGGTTTTTTTGAACATTGTAAATAAAAAGAGAACGGTTTAAAGTAATCCAGGTCAAGTACAAACGTTCTCAGCGGTCATTTTATTCATTGCAAATTCTAATGCATCACCGATACGAGTAATTCCCGAAACATGTCTTAGCACAGCTAACGCGCTTAGAATATCCTCTCGAGTAGTGAATTTATTGAAATTGAATTCCAAATGTTGAACACCACTATAAGCTTGGAATATTTTTAAGAAAATTTTGTCTATTTTCCATTAAATATTCGTATATTTTCATAATTTTATCGCAAAAAAATAAATAATAATTATCCCAAAATAAAAATCCCATTTTAAAATCCTATCATTATACCTAAATTGAATAAGCATGACCCGTGTAGCGCTATCACCAATAGTTACATGCTTGACAATTCGTCGGATAATGTCGACTTCATCCTGGAATTTATTTCTCAACGATCCAGAACTGTCGACAATGAATACTAAATCCAACGGCGATGCTTTTATCGTACATTGCGCTAAAAATTGAGAAATATTTTTTTATCACCAATATTACCAATATTAATTGATAAAAGGACACAGTGTCATATTGTTTTTAAAAAATAAGTTAAAATTAAGATAACACAGTGGATAACTTAGTATAACTTATAACTAAGGTGATTTGAAAACGTCGGCTGTTATGATCTGTGATTAAACTACGGAGTACTGATAAAAATACTATTGTGATTTGTTGCTTATTGCAATTATTATACAGGAAAAAATAAAATAAAAATAAAATTATTATATAGGAAAAAATAAAATAAAAAAGTTTTAGTTTATAGATAATAAAAGATATTTAGTGATAATAAAAGATATCTCTCGATAATCGAATTCATAGAGATTTATTCGCTTTGCGGATTCAAGTTTATAAAATTTTCCGGATGTGCAAATCGTTTAGATTTTTCATCTTTTTTTTTCAACAAATTAGATATTTTAGCAAAAAACTTTCTTTTTTTTTCTTTTCATTATTATTTTTGAAAAAAACTTCGGTTTTTGTTTTTCTAATTGGTTAGATGAAATCGCTTAATTATTCGAACGATATACGATCGAAATTCCAAAATTTGGAGAAAACAAACCGGTTTCTAAATCAGGAATCAGGTAATCATTACGAAAGCGAAAATGTCTTCAAAGCTGTTTGACACATCTTTCCTTCAGTGTCCTTCATCATTTTAACTCTCTCAACATCACAATCTTCTCTTAAATCTTTTTTTTAAGAAAAAAATCCATTTCTTTATCAAATTGTCATGATTTATTTGGCAATAAATTTGTAGAATTTCTATTTTTACACACTATTTTTTCTTTTATTAATTTATCAGTTATCACGCACAATATAAAATTAGCTCCTTTTATTAATTATCAATTATCATGCACAACATTAAATTAGTATTTTTTTCTACGAATTAATAATAAATATTTTTTCGAGTCGATTTTATCAATTGAAAATGAAAAAAAAGCAAACAATATAATATTATGAAAACTATCTCAGTCATACAAATTTTACTGATAAAAATTCATAAAAAAAATTTTAAAAAATTTATGAAAAAATATGAAATTTTGCGGATCATAAGCGGAGAATAATTTGTCAATTTTTCGATAATTTTTTATATGAATTTATAAGAAATCCAAAATTCCGTGAATATAAAATAACTAATCAGATAAGCGATATCGATAGCAAATTTATTTATTGTTTCATTTTTTTAATATCCATTAACAGGTTTATAAACTTATTTTTAATCATCAAATACAAATCTTGATTGGAAATAAAAATAAATAAAATATTAGGAACAGGAAATTCTTAAAGGAAAATATATTCGTGACCTCTTCAATTAATAACTAATGAAACTACTAAAAAAACCGAGGTGCAAAAAAAAATTTCAATTTTTTTCATAATTTATTTAAAATAAATGAATTAAGTTAAAGTTGTTAAAGTTTTATCTTTTTTCTTTTAAGGATTTATGTTAATTAATTTTTTAGATATTTTTATTTAGATATTTAGATAGATATTTAGGTATTTTTATGTGAATATATTTTTATAAAAACAGCTTATCATTTTTTCTAATGCTGATAAGGAAATATCAAAACAAGAAAAAGAGTTAAATTCCAAATTTTCTTAAAAATTTGAATAGTAGAATAAATTTGAATAATAATATTTCATTTATTTAATAGAAATTGAATAAAAATTCAAATAATTTTCTATTTAATTTAAATTAATTCGACCAATGAAAAGGAACAAACAAAAAATTGAAATTTAAAATATTAAAATTAAACTTTAAATTAGTAACTTAAATTAAAAATATATAAAAATACAATATATAGATTCAAATTAAATGAAATAAAATAATTATAATAATTATAGCTAAGAAGGAAAAGAGAGTTGAGGAAGGTGTGGTGAGGGATAAGGGACGAATGAGGAAAGCGAAGGCAATCCATTCTACATTCTCGCAATATGCTAAATTCTGGCTTATCAGCCTAACTTGCCTAAGAATCATAAATCATTAGTTTAGGTTGTGAGAAGAAATTAAAATAACTTACGTTTAATAGCAATTGGTGAATGAACAATTTCTGGAGGTGCTAAGCCATTTGAAGGAATTTTTATCGATGAAACAGCATTCGTATTTAAGCAAATATAAAAAAAAAGTGAGAAGAACTCGACGGTCCTTTGCATAATTATTTTATTCATTCTACAAGGAAAATTTAAAGATTAAAAAACGATTTTCGCAAAAACTAAATTTAATCGTAACATTAATCGTTTGAAAATAAAAAATCGCTTTTGAAAAGAATTTAGGCCAAAAATTTTTAAATTTTTTGAAAAATATTTTTTTCTTTTTTTTTTAAAAAAAGAAAATGTTTCAAAATTTATCGATAAATATATTTTTTATCAACTACAATTTAATAAAGACAATAAATTTCACTTTATATTTTCTTGCTTTTTTTTAAAAAAGTGTTTTTCACCAATGTTTCGTACATATAAACCTGTTATTACATCAAAAAGATATACAAATGCTCTATTGGATCTAAAAAATTGGTGCCGAATACGAGAAACGATGTGGTACCGGACACTAATTAGTACGATTAAATTCGTCTTTTGGTGTACCGTATATTGTTTGCATTTCTCTTACTTAGGAAGAGACTTGTTCACCAAAAAGTGCCACTTGGCATCATTTGAATTTTAATTTTAATGATTAATGAATAATATTAAAAAACGGAAACCTATACCAATTTAACTTCAGCGAAAATGGTATTATATTAATTATTGATAATAACTGATAATGCAATTGATAATTTATCATAAATATTTTTGAATTTTATATTTTAAATCTTCTAAAATCTTTTCGCATCTTTATTTTGCCCAATCCATTTTTTTTAAATTCAATTCGATCAATGGCAAAGTACAAAAATGAAAACTGATTAAATTAATATTATAATTATTATTATAATATTATAAACGAATAAACATATTAAACATGAAACTTTAAAAAAGTCTAATAAAAAATTTAATTGACCGTGTAATTCTCTTTTGTCTAAATTTCTCATTTGACTGACTTTATTGACTATTAGGATCACCTGGAGGTAGAAACACAAATGAACCGCTAGTATGAGAATTTATGTCAGCTTTGGAACTAGAAGTGCAGGTGAGTCACCAGCATCCGAATTTTTGGATAGGTTTACTCTTGTGGGGAATAGAATTTCTGTATCGGGGCTCCGAATCGAGCAACAACCCACTAAGCCGATCTTTCCCTTAGACCATTTTGGTTCATTTTATGCTATATAATGATTAAAAATGATAAAAATAACGAAAATATGGTTCTGATCTTCCTTTTCCTTTGTAATGCAGGAAAAAAAGAAAGAGGAAAAATACGCTCGAATATCTCAGAAAACATTCACAAATCGTTATAATTATTTGTGAATTTAAATAATACAGCCTTTGCTATTGTAATGTCTATCATCTCGAAGTTGACAAAAATTTTCGCTTTAGCAAAAAATAGCTGATATTGAGAAAAAATGGAGCATTCATTTTACATCCGTAACATTCAATAAACCAGCTTTTACGTTTTTATAGACCAGATCCGCTTTTTTCCACAAATAAACACCAAATACATAATAAAAAAAACTGACAACTGTAAACTAACTCTCACTTTTGACGCTAATGGGCAATTAGAGGAAATCGAAAATATCTAAAGGTGATGATGATAATGATGAGATGAATCTCTCTTACAACCCGCCTTCATTTCCCCTACATCAATCCAATTCTGCCAACCGTCAGTTGATATTTTTCATCATGCATAGGAGCGCAAGATAGTTCAACCCACTAACCGATGCTAGGCATTTATTTGTCCATAAATATAGTTGCCAAACTTCCCTTTTCTAAGGCTAAGCCCTTAACCCTTAATCTAGACTTACTATAGGCCATAAATTTAAATGATCTTATCAAAACACCATTCATCCAGCATATCGCCATTATCATCGACATTAAAATCAGTATCAATTTTGTTAATAAAAAAAATTATTTATCATAGCGAACACAATCTAGATTATCTTGATATTAATATGGGTAGACAAGAATTTATATGAATACGATTTCTAAAAGAGAATTGTAGATTATATGTTATTTTGAATGTGTGAAAATCTAAAAATGAGCATATTCTTCTGGATTTTACTTTGTTGTGCCACAGAGTCCCTTGGCGATAGAAATACGGGCGAGTCGCCAGCATCACCCGGATTTTTGAACAGGTTTACTCCTGCGGGAAATAGAACTTTAGTATCGGCGCTCCGAACTGAGTAACAACCCATTGAGCCATTCTATCCTCCTTGGATTGTAGTTAATTAAAGATTAAAAGATTTCACTAAAATTATGAATTTTCAAAATGATCAAAGTATGCAATGATCAAAGTTGATGGAACTCGATTATTTTTCGGCTTAGCCTCATTCTAGGCTAATATTTAAATGTGTAACTTATATGTAATCTCAGATTAATTCGAGTAGCTAAAATATATATTACCAAGATAAGGTAAGGTAAGCAAAAATATCAAATTAGATATATAAAAATCTGCAAAAAGGGAAAATAAAAACTATAGGACTATTTTCATGGATTTTAGTGTTGCAATCCAAGCAAATAAAAAATACAGTAAAATATCAAAATAACAAAATAAAAGTAAATAAAATCAAAAATAACAAAAAAATACAATACAAAATAAGACTATACAATATTTATGAAATCTATTAGAACAAGGTATTTTAAATTTTTATTTATATTATCATTTTAAATTATTTTTATTCTAAAACATTACATTAAATATACCGAAATCAGCAAATTTTTTATTGTGATTTATTATTTATTTTTACAATCGGCTATAAAATATTTTAGTTGAAATAAACTTTTTATTATAAGAAATTAAATCAACGCTGAAATCATAAAATTATGGCAATAAACGTCGCCGGCATCTTAATAAAGATTACATAAATTTTATCAAAACTTACAAAACTTATTTTTTCATTCAACAGCACACAATAAAATTATGCATCTTATCAGTTGTAAATTCATAAGTCTTGTGATAAGACGATTTGCTTAACTTATTTAATAAATCTTATCAGTCGACATTAAATGAAATTAAATAACACTAAATAAAATTATGCAGCTTATAAATCAATAAATAATAAATTTACAAATCTGGTGATAAGAAGACAACAATCAGGCATTAACATGAACATATAGTTCATCGAATAGTCTTCCTCAAATTGCAAATTATAAGCAAACAATATGATAAAGATTTTGGCTATGAAAAAAAAATTGCCAGCTAACAACTATATTATACTAGGATGCGCGATTATTTTCGTAAAGGGGAGAATTAAATAAAATTATTAAATAAAAAATCTAATTTTAATCAAACCATCCAATGGAACTAGTTTGCTATCAGCGAAAAAAATTACAACTTTTAATAAATAAAATTAATAGAAATGAAATTTATTAAAATAAATATTAATGATAAAACGAACGAATATAATTTATAAAAATATTTTAGATTTCAAATATTTACATGCATTAAAAATTATTTTAATTAAAGAAAATATTAACTATTTTTTAAAATTATTTGAAAAATTATTTGAAATATAATTAATAAATTTAATTGTCCATAAGAAAATTCATTTATTCAATAATTTTTATGAATCATTTCTTGATCTTTGCCATTACGATACTAAATTATTTTGAAATGCATGTGACATCTTTGATCTGTCATCTTTCTATTATGTTAGCGTTAAATAGTTGTAACGTAGTAGACAATAACAAAGAATTCATTTACTTGATTCTTAATCAATTACCTTGTTTTTAGTGCTAATTTTAATATGTACGTGGCAAAGAGGCTTAAATAGTGGAAAAATGATGGGA